GGGGGGGCCGGGCCGGGTCCTGACCTGCCGGATGTTCTGCCCCACGTACTCGATGACCATCTCATCCGCCGCGATGGGCTCCATGGCAAAGAGCCCCCACTCGTGGATCCGGCTCCGCCCGAACCGCAGCCGCTTCTTCCGGAACTGCCGCGACACCGGGACGGGTCAGCGGGGACGGGGACGTGGGGGGGACACCCACGGGAGACATGGGGGTCAGGGAGAGGGAAAACAGGGACGTGGACACGACAAGAGGGGTGTGGAGAACACGGACGCAACACGAGGCACAGGGAGAACGGGACAAGACGACCAAGGAGAACGTGGATGCGACACGAGGGACACGGAGAACGGGGATGTAACGAGACGGACAAAGGCAACAGCACGAGAGGGACACGGAGCCCACGGAGCAACCTGGGGCCCCCCTCCGACCCCGGGGTGCAGCCCCCTCCCCCCAGAGCCCCCCATCCCACCTTGAGCTGGTTGAGCTTGAGCAGGTCGCTGTCGGGGAGCGCGGCTGAGCCGATGGCGCTGAGGAGCCGCCGCTGCTCCGAGCGCCGCTCCGACAGCACGCGGTTGGGGCCCTGGGGACGGGGCCATGGTGTGAGGGGGTCACAGTGCAAGGGGGTCACTGCGGTGTGAGGGGGTCACCGTGTGCGAGGGGGTCGCCCTGGGCTCACCTGGGTGTCGGGGGGCGCGTCGGGGTCGGGCCGGGGGGCGGGGCAGGGGTGCAGGTACCGCGCCTTCTCGCGCCGGCTGATGGGGTAATAGCCCTCGCTGCGGGCGCTGCCCGTCCGGTGCTCCCGGCACTCCGGCCACCGGCGCCGGCGCCGCGGGCTGCTCGTCCTCGTCAGTGGGGGGGAGTCAAGGGGGGACAACAGATGCCGAGGGGCCCTGGCCCGACGTGACCCAACTCCAATGACTGTTGCCTTGGTGCCAACCCAACGGGACCCACCGTGACCCGACATGACCCAATGGCAACACCTATTTTCTTGTCCCCATCCCAACCAACGCCCAAGGCCGCGTCCCCGACCCGTGACCCCGACTCCCAGACACCCCCCGGGACCCCGAGCGCTCCCCCCGCAGCCCCCAAGGATATCGGTGTGGGGCACCCAGTGGGTGTCGTTGAGCCAGTGCGCGGCCCCGTCCTGCTGCAGGAGCCGCTCGTAGGTGAGGCGCAGGTACCGCGCGTCCTCGGCGTCCAGCCCCGCGCTCCAGATGTCGTACAGGATCGTCATCTGCTCGAACTCGCTGCGGGGGGCGAACGTGGGGGGCGGGGAGGAGACCCCCCCGGCGCGGGGGCGCAGCCAGCGCCTCGGGCCCCCTTTGCTGTCGTCGTCGTCCTCCTCGCCCTCGGTGCTGCTCTCGTCCTCCTCATCCTCGTCCTCGCTGTCGCTGGAGGACGAGGGCGGGGGCGGCCGGTGCCGCTTGCGCCGGGGGGGCGGCGGTGGCGGTGCCGGGGTCGCCGAGGGGGTCCCGGGTTCGGCGTCGGTGGCACCGGGCGGGGGCAGCTCGGCCACCACCTCCTCGGGCGCCTCGAGCACCTCGGCGGCCGCGGGCTCCAGGCACAGGGCGGCGGGCGCGGCGGGGGCGGCGGCGCCGGGGGGCACCGGGGCGGCCCTGGGGGGCCCCGCCCGCGCTGGCATGGCGTAGTTGTGCTCCAGC